AATGCATCACATAAGTCGCAAATGACTATAATATTACGTTACTTGCTGCCTGATGGATCAGTTCGAGAAGATTTTGCAGGATTTGTTGATCTACATGACAACAATTACCAATCTGATATTACTGCATCAATTGACACTGAACCTATTCTTGACGGCAAAATTATTGGTCAATCGGTTATAAACATGTTTTCAAACAAGTTCCACCTTTCTCTAGAAAACTGTGTTGGTGTGGGAACAGATGGTTGCAGTGTTATGTCTTCGTTACAAAAAGGAGCAGTAGTTGAAATTCAAAAAGTTGCAGTGAATGCAGTCTGGTGTCCTTGTTATAACCATGCTTTAAATTTAACTTTATCAAAAAGTTCGAATGTACAAGCAATAAGAAATTGTTTGGGTGTTATTAGTGAAATAGTTGCTTTTTTCAATGCTTCTGCAAAACGAAATTTTATAATAAAGAACATGATAAATTCACAACTGGTTTCACTCTGCGAAACACGATGGGTTGAGAGACATGATGCATTGCTGATGTTTAGTATTGAACTTCCACAAATAATTGATGCGCTAAAGAATATATCTAAATGGAATGACAGAACAACTTCATCAAAAGCAACAACTTTATTAACAGCAATTAGAGAAAGTGATTTTATTGTGTCCCTAGGCTGTGCTGTGTATGTATTCTCTCTAACAAAGGGCCTCAGTGAATTGTTTTAAAAAAAAGTTTAAATTTACATGATGCAGAAAATTGCATTAAAGACCTGTTAAATGTTTTACAAAAAAAGAGAGAAAACTGCGAAGAAATGTTTTTGGAAATTTTTAGAGCAGCAGAAAAAATAATAATTGAAAAAGATGGCACTTTTACCTACAAAAGATTTGTGCATCGACAGACATGCCCTGAAAATGTACCTTCTGATTCATTGGAAGAATATTACAGGCGATCAGTTTACATCCCTCTTCTTGATGCACTGATATTGGATATAAATACTCGTTTTTTGCAAGTTTTTTGCAAAAAGAAAATTTGCAATGTCTCCAAATCTATTCTTTGATGCCAGAAAATATTATTAAACTAAATCATAAAGATGTTGTCGAATCTGTTTCAGCAATCAGTAATTTCTATGGTACCATTCTTGGACTTAGTACCCAACTTGAATTTATATCGGAAGTTGAATTGTGGCAGAGCAAATGCTTTAGAATGAACAAGGACGGAGGAGGAGTCAAATCACTGACTACTGATCTTTCTGTTATTTTTCATTTGTGTTACCCCGTACAATATCCAATCACTCAGAAGTTGTTCCGTATTATTAAAGCATGTCCAGTTAGTGTTGCCAGTGCTGAACGTAGCTTCTCAACTCTGCGAAGAATTAAAACATGGCTAAGAACACGAATGACAGAAGACAGATTAGTCGGATTGGCACTACTTAATGTACACAGAGACGTTTTAGTAAATGTTGAAAATACAATTGAGCGTTTTGCGAAGTCAGAAAATCGTAAAATAGAATTCGTTTTATAAATTGTTATTAGTCAACCTATCAAGGTAGTAGGTACCTCGCTAGTCTAATAAAATAAATAAACCCATTTTTTAAAACACTTATAGGATTAAAAAAAAGAAAATAATTTTTTTATATTGTCGGAAATTTTAATAAAATAATATGAATGAGGAGATTTTTAAAAGATGACAAAGCCCCAAGTTGGGCGCTAATTGTCGGAAAATTTATAAATGAAAACAATTAAAACGACTGGTGGTGTGAGGTAATCTCCTCCTCTATCTTTCTCAGGGAATTTTTTGTATGGTCCGACAATAATTTTTGTGTATATTTTTATCGTGAGTTCGACCAGTCCTGTGTGGCACTGGGCTTTTTCGAATTATATGATTTTACTGAGTAACACACGAACGCGTAAAGAAAAATATTCGATAACAATTTTATTAATCGACGGAAGTAAATAAAAGGAATTGAACTAATGAACTCCATAATATTGTAAATGTCAATGAACAAACTGGAATACAGGAATTAGAACTCTTCTTGTTGGGTCTTCAACTTGGGATATGTTTCTTGCCGTTTAATCGTAAAACCTCGACGTGTGTATCCGATGGTGATGTCGACACAACTCCAAGAAATAAATAAAAAAAAAAAATGTATCACAAAAATCGGAGCCTATGGAAATTGCAAGCTGCGTGTGAAACTATACCAATGAGTATAGAATCCAGCAAAGAACCCTAGGTCGACAAATAGCACAAGAAAGAAAAGAAGGAGGCGGATTGGTTTTCACAGAACCCAAGGCCTGTTTTCACTGGGCCTGTCTGTCAGTCGGTCGGCTTTCGCACAACCTTGGCCTGTTTTCACTGGGCCGTCAAGTCTGATCGGCTTTCGCACGACCAAGGGCCTGTTTTCACTGGGCCTGTCTGTCAGTCGGTCGGTCGGCTTTCGCACAACCCTGGCCTGTTTTCACTGGGCCGTCGAGTCTGATCGGCTTTCGCACGACCAACACAAGACAACAAGAGTCAGAACAACACTGGAAACAAATTGTGTGACTCTAGTACGCGTGCGAAACTATGCCAATAAGCATAGAGTCCAAATTCACTTTTGAGAACTTAAGACGTTTCTGAAACTATGCCAATGAGCATAGAATCACGCATTAAGTCTCTTAGATACCAGAATAGGCACTGATTACTCGAAGCTGCCTAACTGGTGAACCCAAGGCTGACTCTTTGAGAACTTAAGACGTTTCTGAAACTATGCCAATGAGCATAGAATCACGCGTTAAGTCTCTTAGGGACCAGAAGAGGCACTGATTATTCGAAGCTGCCTCACTAGTCAACCCAGTTTCTCTCTCTTTTCACACCCTTCCTTATCAAGGCAAAATTAGATTTTGTTTCGGGTGTTTTAAAATATAAAAATTTACAAGGCATGTCCAATTAATCAGAAAAAGTATTAATTAAATTTTAAAATAATTTGTAATAATTTATGACGTCATCTAAATTGCAAAACAAAAAAAAATCGTCATCACCTATCGAGTAAATTAACTTGCACCATGCCCCCTATCGAGAATAAATTTCGCGTTAAAAATTTTGCAGTATTTTTAGTCAGTATTATTTCATAATTCTGACAATATTTATATATGTACTCATATGTATATATTGACTATCGCCCCCATCGCCCCCCCCCCTATGGATCCGCCACTGAAACAGCCGAGAAATTTGTATACTTATAACAGCCAAATGAGTCAAAAGACCGTGTTGTAGTTTGCAGAAGTTTTTGTTATTTATGCATTAATTTGATCATTAATTTAATTAAATATTCTTATTTATTTCACTTATTATGATCATTTTAGTGACTTTAATTGGTCTAAAAATTATGGTTATCAAATTTTTAGTTTTGCAATGAAGACAAGATTTGAAAAAAAGAATCAAAAAATTCATAACGTTTAATAAAAAATTTAAATGAAAGCAGTTAATTGTCTATGATAAATAAATTCATTATGTTCAGTTGGATTCTTTGGTTTGATATACAGTCAGATGGCCTTCATACCAATCTACTCATTGACAGTTGTTTCCTCTCAAATCAAATGCCCAAGTATGCCTAATAAGCCAGATAAGTTTTGAATAGAATTTTAGGTGGCTGTGAAACAAAATATTGTTTGAAAGTAAAACCGTATTTGAGTATAGACTTGGTTCATTGGAAACACATGTTGTTTTAACTCAAGTTTAACCTTACTTCAATAAAGACTATAATATAGCAATAGATAACTTTTCTACATCATTGGATCTATAAAATGTTGTTAGCTGAAAAAACTTCGGTGATAGGTACAATGCGAAATAAAAAATATTCCTATTGTAAATTTTACTGAGATGATTTAATTATTATTTTTTGATTGGGAATCAGATAAAATTTATTTAGTAAAATTTCAATCTAAAAATTGTTGTTCTCATGTCATCAAGACACAAAAGAAAAGAATGACATTATGTTTTAAATGTAAAAGGCTGTTTGTGGTGCTTTGAGTGTAAATCTGTGTAAAGAATGCTATTCCTAATAATAATGAATTGAATTTTATTTGGAAAATAACAAAATTAATGGAATATATTTGTTTACTTATCTTTTTTTATGTACTTAGTTTCATTGGGTCATTTATTTCCCAAATAAAAAATTAATTCATTATTATTAGGAATAGCATTCTTTACACCGATTTACACTCAAAGCACAACAAACAGTCTTTTTACATTTAAGACATAATGACATAATTTATTGACTCGGTTTTAGTGTTGAAAATTTGCTGACTTCGTAACAATTCCAAGCTCTAAAAAACTATTACCGCTTACCCCTCTGAATTATAGGAAAGTTTTTTTTACAACAACTAACAAACAAAATATTATTAAAACAG